TTTACGCGCTGGGAGCCGAGCGGCGTCCGGCCCTCCGGCCGTCGCCCGCCTTGCCGAGCCCCGGGGCAGCTAGCGCAGCCGGCGCCGCGCACCGCGGTGTGGTCAGCCTCGCTCAGCCTCCCGGGCGCCCTCGGGAAGCTCGGCCCGGGGTCCGGCTGGCCGCTCGGATCAGTGCTCTCTCCCTGCTTTTGCCCTGGTCCTGGAAGCCCCCGGATCCCCTTCCCGTCTCTGACTTCCCTGTTTTCTGAACAACGACCCTTCATTCATTCCCTAGATCGTGCACGGTGGCGTTGGGGTGGCACCACCTGGACGAACGACTGACCCACCCTCCAGGTGCCGTCAGTCCTGCCGGGCCGTAAGATAGAAACTTGCCCAGGCCTCAGTCCGGCTTTGAATCTCAGCTCTGCCACTCACTAGCATGTGACCTTGGGCTCGTGTTTTGATCTTGGAATCTCGGGTTTCCTCGTCTGTAAAATGGGGTAATACCTTGTAGGGTGGTTGTGACGACGCTCCAGATTGAATGATTCAGGTAAAGCTTTCTTAACATAGTGTCCACAGTAAATGCCCAGTAAGTGATGCTTGAGGGAATCTTTCATGAAAGAGGGGGCGTCAGAGGGTGAGCAGCATTCAGATACCTGCAGGGGAGGTGGTTACTCCAGGTGACCAGAGAAGTGGGAACTGGTATGAATAAATTGGGGTGCCAGGCTAGGAATTAGATGAGTCCACAACCAGGCCCTACCGTCCTCCAGCAGAAGCTGCAAATTCCATCCGCCCAGCCAGGTTTTGTATGGCCTGTGGGCTAAGAATGGTTTTTTGTTTTTTTGTTTTTTTTTTTCACCATGCCAAGTGGGATTTATTTCTGGGAAACATGTATAGCACAACTTACAAAACATAAATGTCATTTCATATAAAAGTCAATCAAAGTAACATACCACACTAGCAGTATAAAAGTAGTAACATACAACCTTTTTTTAAATCAATATTTTTTATTATGATTTTGTGGGGTACAGTTAAGGGTTAGGTGTACAATTACGTTTCATTCAGGCACCCTGTTGATAAGAGGTGTTTCCCCTTCCCCAGACAGATATTTGCTACTGTTAATCCCATCCCCCCCCAAGAATGTTTTTAAACACAGCTTTATTAAGATACAACTCACCCATTTAAAGTTTAATTGAGGCCGGCACGGTGGCTCACTCTTGTGATCCCAGCACTTTGGGAGGCGCAGGTGAATGGATTGCCTGAGTCCAGGGCTTCGAGACCAGCCTGGGTAACTTGGCAGGACCTTGTCTCTACAATAAATAAAAAAATTAGCAGGGTGTGCTGGTGCATGCCTGTAGTTCCAGCTGTTTGGAAGGCTGAGGCAGAAGGCTCGCCTGAGGCCAGCAGGTCGAGGCTGTGGTGGCTGTGAGCGTGCCACTGCACTCCAACCTGGGCGAGCAACTCCAACTCAAATAAATAAATAAAGTTTAACTGAGTGCTTTTAGTATATTCAGAGTTGTGTAACCATTACAACAATCACTTTTTAGAACATTTTCATCACCCCCAAAGGAAACCCTGAGCCTTTGGCCACACCCCCCAAATCTTTCGTTTCCTTCCAGCACTAGACAACAACGAGTCTACTTTCTGTCTCTCTGGATTTGCCTATTCTGGATACTTTACATAAATGGAATTATGATACAATATGCGGTCCTTTGTGACTGGCTTCTTTGACTTAACATAATGTCATAAGTTTTGACATTTTTTGAATGGCTAGAAAACAGTTTTTCATGACACATGAAAATCATATGAAATTCAGATTTCAGTGTCTATAAATAAAGTTTTGTTGCAACACATCCCTGTTCATTTATTTACAAGCTGTCAATGGCTGCTTTTGTGCTACAAAAGTAGAGTTGAGTAGCTGCTACAGAGATTGTTTGGCAAACCTAAAATATTGACTGTCTGGTCCTTCACAGGAAAAGTTTGCTGCCCCTTTAGCAGCACACCTTCCGTACCCTTTTCTTTCATCCTCACCCTTGCCATATGTGTTACTAGAGGTGTGACAGGGCTGGCAGTTTCATTTGTCACCTTACTCTCTGTTTATGCAAAACTGTTTTTCTCCCTTGAAATTAAGGCCTCCTGATGCCAAAGACTGTATGGCAGCCAGAAAATGAACGCACTCTTGGGTGCATTAATAAGTAGATTATCTTGAAGGGGAAAGAAGGGTGGGCATGCTTTGTTCCATGTTGTGCTGAGGATAGACTCAAGCAGAAAGCTGCACAGAGAGAAAAAGTCTGAAGAACTGAGTGAGTTTGTTCTAGAGAAGAGACGCCACCACCAGGGACAGGAGCACTGTCTTCATGTCTCACCTGATGGAACTTCACTGGGAGAGAGCAGGCAAGTGAAGCTTATGCTTCAGCTAACGGTCCCGGCAGGTGTGGGGCTCCCAGCCATGCACTGTCTGTAGGTGGTACAGGGCGCTGAAGCTTGAACATATAGTCAGCACTCACCCCTCTCGTCATCTCTTCTGTCCGGTGAGTTCATTTAACATCAGCCTGGCCCGGCATGCCCGGCTTGTTCGTTTTGTAGTGTCTTTCAGAGACGTCTTAACTTGCAGATGAGGAAGGGCTGGACAAATGTCCTGGCCCTGCCAAGAGTCAGTCAGGAGGTTCATTGTTTGCTCTGGCTGGAACTGTGGGTCTGCGGTGGGACCCGCCTGCCTGGCGACTTGTGCCATCTCCGAAGAGAATTCTGGTTGTGATTCCTGGGTTGATGAAGCTGCAGATTGTTTTTTTTGTTTGTTTTTTGAGACAGGGTCTTGCTCTGTCGCCCAGGCTGGAGTACAGTAGTATGATCATGGCTCATTGCATCCTCAACCTCCTGGGCTCAAGCGATCCTCCTGCTTCAAAATGGGATTACAGGCATGCACCACAGTGCCTAGGCTAAGCTGCAGGGTTTTTTGGGGGGAAGAGGGTGAGTTGGATTCTCTGTTGCCCAGACTGGAGCACAATGGCAAGTTCACAGCTCACTGCAGCCTCGACCTCCTGGACTTAGGCGGTCTTTCTGCCTTAGCCTCCCAAGCTGCAGTTTTTAAAACCAGATGTGTAGATGCTTTCAGTTCAGGCTACAGCATGAACCTACAGGATTTATGAGATTCCCAAAGACACTCTTAAAGAGTTCTTAGAAGGTTCCAGAGGACAGTTCCCTTCCACTGACAACACACCTTTGCCTCTGGAGTAAGCATGCACTTTTCTTACTGGAGCTACTGATATACTGAACCACGTGTCTAAGCATCCCCTCCCTAGGTATGGACTGTAGATGGCATACGAAAATGGTGGTCTTTTCAGCCTAGAGGTGCAAGTTTTGTGGGGCCAGTAGAAGGGAGTAGAGATGCCTTTAAGTCCATCTCGTAAAAACTCTCGGGTTGGCCATTGCTAGGCCATTGTGGCCATTGTCTTGGTAAACTATGGTGTGGCCATGTGCTTTTTGAGCTACCACTGGGCCACGTTTCCTGGCTTTGGCCCCCTTCCCCACCTTAGGGAGGTGAATTTCCTCTCTCTCTCTCTTTCTCTCTCTAATTTACTTTCTAAATAAACTTTATTTTCTACTCTAAAAAGAACAAACCTCTGGAGTCAATGAAATATTCCCCTGTCTAGCTCCTCTCTGGCCCCAAGGCCAAGTGTGGTTTCCTTGCTGAACAAAAAAATAATCACTTGCTTCTGGGTGTCCCCTCTGCCAGGCTCTCCGTTCTAGTCTGCTTCTCTTTCCCTTGAGACAGTGGAACAGAAAGTCCTGTGAACTCACCCTTTGAGCCCCAACCTGAGATACTAGGTCAGGTTCCACTTGCTGGAATCCAGAGTGAGGGCTGAGAAGGAGCTTGCTTTGAGCTGTTTGCGCTTATTGTGAGGAGGGACGGCTAGCTTTTACAGCCTACTCTGAAGGCCTTTCTAGCTGATGCTGGGAAAGTAGGCCACACGATGGTCTGCGAGCGAGACACGCATAGGCCTGGCAGCATCTCTTCATGGCTCACCTTGATACTGTGACCCAAGGGTTTTCCTCTCCTAGGAAGCACTGAGCTATTTGCTTGGCCTTTCCAGAAAGCCATTGATCTGGTGACGAAAGCCACAGAAGAGGACAAAGCCAAGAATTACGAGGAGGCACTCCGGCTCTACCAGCATGCTGTGGAGTATTTCCTCCACGCCATCAAGTGTGAGTGACCCTCAGGTCCTTCCTGGCTGCAGGCTTCTGTGAGGGAAGGGTAGCACAGGGGGCTCATGCAGGCCCCTCTCTGGTTTCCCTTTTGCAGATGAGGCACACAGTGACAAGGCCAAGGAGAGCATTCGAGCCAAGTGCATGCAGTACCTAGACCGGGCGGAGAAGCTGAAGGATTATTTACGAAACAAAGAGAAGCATGGCAAGAAGCCAGTCAAAGAGAACCAGAGTGAGGGCAAGGGGTGAGTATGCAGGAGTACACAGCTGGCCCTGGGGGACAGCCCCCTCCATGTGTCACTGTTGTTCTGGGTGCTGATGCTGCCTCGGGCTTCCCTGGCACTTTCCTCATGGGAAATTCTCCTAATGCAGCCATAGCAGTGCCAACATGCGTATGTTATCTCATTGGCTCTTACAAAGAAGCTGTGGGAGAGACAGGGAGCCTTGCATGGAGGTTAAAAGCCTTGGACTTTGCAGCCAGACTCTGAGGGCATAACCCTGCTCTGTCACTTCCTAGCTGTGTGACCTTGGACTAGAGCCGGGACCCTCGTGTGCCTCCAGTCACCTCACCTTGGGAGGGGAAGGTAGTGGAGCTGCCCCTAGCTTGCTGTAAAGAGCAAAGGAGATGGCATGGGGAGCACCCTTGGAGTAGAGCTTGGCCACAGTGAGCATTCAGTCCAGCTACTGTTATTATCAAAGAGTCATCATCTTTATCCAAAAGGTGAGGCAGCAGACGCAAAGGTGCAGAGTTGGCTAAGATAACAGAACTGATGCATGACGGAGCCTGGACTCACATCTGGAACTTTTGATTCCTAAGCCCGTGTTTTCTCCACAGCCTCTCACCTCGGGTCTGGGGTTTGCCCACCATGGTGATTCCAGTCAGCTGAACACAAATGTCAGCGGTGTCCTGGGGCGAAGAGAGGGTCTGCAGGGCAGGAAGGCCACAGAGTAGAGGAGAGGTGGCGGGTCAGTTGCCTCATCAGAAGCAAGACACTCCCCTCCTGTGTTGAGGGAACACATCATGCTCCAGTTCCCCAGAGTGAGAGGCATACTTAGGAAGGGCAGGAGGTCAAGGATCTCTAGGAGGGATTAAGGCATTTTGATGATGACAAATTACATCAGGATAGAACTGGCCTTTGGGATGAGAGTAGCTCCTGTGTTCTTTTCCTCAGGTGTTCCCCTTCAGATTTACATTTTGCTCCTTCTCCGTCCCTTGGCGTGTGGCTCCTCTGGAGTCACGGCCACATGCTGTCTTTTTCTGAGTCTGTACGAAAGGCTCCTGACAGCTGTGTTGCTTGACTGCTGTTCTTAAGTCCAGCCAAAGCACATTTCTCCCATGCCTTCAGAAGAGGGCAAATGAGTTGCTTCTCATCTCTTAATGAAGAAACAGGGATGAATATGAATGTTTCTGGCGGATCCAAAGGTGAGTTGCTGAGGATGTCGGTCCAGATGTCCTCAAGGGACCAGCTTGCCAGTCACTCACCACTGTCAAGTGGGGAAAGTGTTCCCTAACCACCATGCTGGATCTTGCTGAGGCTAAAGGCCAGCTTGTGACTTTTTGTCTCCTTTCCCAGGAGCGATAGTGACAGCGAAGGGGATAATCCAGAAAAAAAGAAACTGCAAGAACAGCTGATGGGTAAGAGGCCTTGGGAGGGAGTGTGGCGTGGGTTTCCTGTTGGTCAACTCGTGCTTACTAGGTCACCTCTCTTCGGCAGGTGCCATTGTGATGGAGAAGCCCAACATACGGTGGAATGATGTGGCTGGGCTGGAGGGGGCCAAGGAAGCCCTCAAAGAAGCTGTCATTTTGCCAATTAAATTCCCACACTTGTTCACAGGTAAGAGTTGGGCCACTTTAGACCCAGATGTAAAAAGATCGGGCTTCCGAGGGAACCAGCACAGGGCTGCCACTCTGAAGTATCAGGAGCACGTGGCTACTTGGCCACTGAGCCTCCCAGGGCCCAGGCTTGGCCTCACTGATACTCTCAGTCAGGAGAGGCCCTGCCTGCTCACTGGGGTCAGCTACTTCTTGGCTTCTCACTGGCATCAAATATGCCTGACTAGAGCTGTGAGCTGACCATCCCAGTGAGTGGGCAGGATCAGGAACCAGTGCCAGCCAGTGTCATTTTGCAAGGCCATGGGGATCATAGCAAGGGTCTCAGCAGGGAGTTTACTCCTTTCCTTCTAGAATCAGTCATTTTATGGAACTTTTTCTTTCTTGTTGTATTTGCACTGACTAAAGATCCTCTCTTTTTGTTCCCTTTTCCCAGTCAGGAAGCAGCTTACCTCAGTTTATTCTCTATTGTAGGCAAGCGTACCCCTTGGCGGGGGATATTGCTCTTCGGACCCCCTGGCACAGGGAAATCCTACCTGGCCAAAGCTGTGGCCACCGAAGCCAACAACTCCACCTTCTTCTCTGTGTCCTCCTCCGATCTGATGTCCAAGTGGTTGGGGGAGAGTGAGAAGTAAGTTGGCCGTCAGGCCGTGCTATGCTGGTGGCCCAGCATCCCTGCCCCTTGAAGTTGCCGCCGAAAGGCACTGCTATTTGATATTCAGAGAGTAGCCAGGAGAGAGAGAGCTTGCTGGCTTACTGGATGGGGCGCTGTCCTGAAGAAATACAAGCGCAGCTGGAAGGGAACTTGGGAAGGACGAAGAGAAGGGAAAGGAAGGAAGATTACTTGGGTGTCAGTTGAGTATCCCATTAGCACTGTTTATGGTTAACTTTTCCTTACACTGACCGCCATTTTGCAGATGATGAAACTGAGGCTTAGAGAAAGGGAACTGACTTATTCTAAGTCGAGCTAATGAATTGGGCTCCCAGAATTTGAAGCTGATGCCAGGGCTTGCTCTTCCTCTTGGTACAGTGCTGCCAGAGGATTTGTTACCACCGATTTTTCTGCAATCCAAGCATGACTGTGGTCTCAGCCATGCTCGGGACGGGCAAGAAGAGAGAAGTGGTGACTGGGACCCTGGGTGGGCATGTACGTGAGCGTCTGGGTCCTAACCCCATTTCTCACCTCCGTAGGTTAGTCAAGAACCTGTTTGAGCTGGCCAGACAGCACAAGCCCTCCATCATCTTTATCGATGAGGTGGATTCCCTCTGCGGGTCCCGAAATGAAAATGAGAGTGAGGCTGCCCGAAGGATCAAAACGGAGTTCTTGGTCCAGATGCAGGGTGTGTGCTAGTCCCAGGACCCCCCTTGGCTCTCACTCCACCTGAAGCCAAGCCTGGGCTTCATCATTTAGCTGTGGCTGGATTTGGTTGTCCATGGGGTGGTGAGAAGTACTTCTCAACTTCCCCTCCTCAGGCCTTGGATGGATTTCATTCCAGAGAGATTCCCAAGGGCTTTGCCATGCTGGCCACTCTGACTTACCTGTGGCAGGCAGTGCTTAGATCTCTTCACCCCTGGCAAAGCCAGAGCAGGAAGTGGTTTATTTTCAGTTGGGACCCTACCAATGGTGGCACAGGAATAGCTTCAACTGATGACACACAAAGCCCCTGAGGTCCATCCCTAATGGTGTCCAGAGTCTACATATCTGACTTTCTTTCTCCACAGGAGTAGGGAATAACAATGATGGGACTCTGGTTCTCGGTGCCACAAACATCCCATGGGTGTTGGATTCAGCCATCAGAAGGAGGTGAGTTTTCCCCATTATGGGCCTGGGGCTGAAGTCTTTATCTAGCCACAGTCATCCTGCTGTGTGCCGCACATGGGTGTAGCCTGACCCTGTTTCCCTGGAGTCTTGCTGTGTCTGCATGTCAAGCAGAGCCCTTTGGGAAGCTGACTTTTTGAAGGCCATGCATCTCATTGTGCCCCCACTTCCATTAATATCCTTCCATCACCCCCTTTCAATTCCTGCCATGTGCTGGGCTCTAGGTTTGAAAAGCGAATTTACATCCCATTGCCGGAGGAAGCTGCCCGTGCCCAGATGTTTCGGTTGCATTTAGGGAGTACTCCCCACAACCTCACGGATGCCAACATACATGAGTTGGCACGGAAGACAGAAGGCTACTCGGGTGCAGACATCAGCATCATCGTGCGGGACTCTCTCATGCAGCCTGTTCGAAAAGTGCAGTCAGCAACACACTTCAAAAAGGTTAGAGGCCAAGCATGGTGGCTCATGCCAGTAATCCCAGCACTTTGGGGAGGCTGGGGTGAGAGGACTGCTTGAACCCAGGAGTTTGAGACCAGCCAGGGTAATATAGCGAGATTTCATCTCTACAAAAATTCAGAGAATAGCTGGACATGGTGGATGTGCCTGTAGTTCCAGCTACTCGTGAGGCTGAGGCAGAAGGATTGCCGAGCCCAGGAGGTGAGCTGTGATTGTGCCACTGCACACCAGCCTGGGTGACAGAATGAGACCTGACTCAAAAAAATAAAAAGGTGAATGACCAGCAAGCAGTTGCTTAGAAAATGTCACATAAAGAGGGGGACAAGCCGGGCTCGGTGGCTCAGCCTGTAATCCCACACCTTTGGGAGGCTGAGGTGAGTGGATTGCCTGAGCCCGCAGGTTCAAGACCCACCTGGGCAGCGAGACCG